GCTTGCTAATGTAAATCTCATTTATCTAAAGAAGATAAGCCATTGTAAGGCTGTTTGGAGTCGTATATTTGAAAAGTATGTTTATTAATTTATTGTGAATAACAAATCAAATAATTTATTAGGAGGAAACAAAGTTTTTCCTTTTTATTTATTCATGCAATTACCCCCCCCCACCCTCTATTAACTGAACATAGCAGTACTGTGGTGGGAGTAATAAATACATGTTTTTAATTGTGCAATTGATAAATTTCTGAGAATTTTTTCCCCTTCTAAATTCCTAGATGTTATGAATTTGTTAAGGCCTTTATATGATTTGTAAAATTAATTAAAAGTCACCTTCTCATTAATATAACAATTTATTCTGCCTTCATTTATATGATTTTTTTTTACTACTTTGTTTTCTAGGACAAAAGTGCTGATTTAATTATTCATGCATACATAGATGATATTATGATCAGATTGGCAAAAATATTGGAAGTTGATATTCCAGAATATAAAGTGGCAGACGATCAGACTAAAAATATTAGGGAAAAAACAAAAGAATATATTCAAGATCTCTGTATAGAAAAAATCATTCCTAAAAAGAAAGCCACTTCAGATGATGATGAAAAAATGAATATGGAAAGTGAACATGCAGAAATTAAGAATGAAATTAAAGAAGAATACAGTGCTAAAATCGAAATAAATGAAGAGCAATCTAAAACAGACTTACATGAAGAATACACTTGAACATTTTTTTTCAGAAGAAAGGCATTTTAAAATAATTGAAATATAATCAATTTAAATGTGTAAAATTATTTTAAACTCATTGCACAAAATGAATTTTTCAAAATAAGTGTTAAGAAAAAAGAAAGTTTTTATTACACATGTACAGTACTTGTCGTAAAAAGCATAGAAATTGACATTTAATATTTACAATATTTTTTAATTTTATGTAAAATCTTTTCTAATCACTGAATGTTTTAGTGTTTAGAAGTGCAGTGTGATAGTTTTTCACTTTGCATTCATCATATAAGTGTCACTCTTGGTGCTGGCATAAATGAACGTATTGCAGGTTTTGCAGAACATTTTGGCATAGGAAGGAAACCTGGTGCCCTTAATGAAGTTTGTGTAGAGTTTATTGTGCTTACTTTATTACCTTTGCTGGACTTGGTTTTACTGCTTGACTGTGCTGAGCTGAAATTTATAAAACATTTTAATGTTAATTTAGGAAACCATTAATTTTTTTTATATTAGAAGACTTGTTAGATTATGTAGAAAAAGAAATCACCAAAATTATGCATACATTAAGGTATAGGAAGCAATTATGTTTTTAGATATTGAAACTGTAATCTAGTGTAATCCATGTAGAAAATAATGTAATATTTGTTAATAATTTTATAATCCATTTTAACAAAGTTGCTTTTGTATTAGATGCTTAAATAGTAAATGTTGCATTTATATTGAAATATATATTAATAAAAGCCTTGTTGATTCATGTGTTTGTTTTTGTTGATACCCTTTATGATGTGTGCATTCTCTTAATAAATTCCATGAATATTTATCTAAAAATTTACAAAATTATGTAATATCTTTACATTAAAGTGTGAAGGAAAAGAACATCGAAAATTATATGATTGGAAGGTTTTTACATCACGGTAAAAAATTTTAGATTGCAAAAAGTAAGCAGTAAACTTTAATCATTCAAAACAAAATATCCTTCACATGTTATTTTGATTTACTTTATTTGAGAGAAATCATATATATTATATGCAATACCAATTTCTGCTATTTTTTAAAAATATCTTAATAGCATTTCAGTATGTAATTCTTTAGAAAAGGGGAATTTCAGCATTTTTATACCTTAAAAAAATATTTTCAACACACATACATACACATATAGTCTTTACAACTTTTTAAAACAAAATTAAACTTAACATCAAGGATATTTTTTTTTAATGCTAAAGAACAGGAACCAAATTTGGAATTTTTTTTCAGATGTAAAAATGCTTAAACATTAATATTATATTTTGACTTTGTTATTGTATAAAGAATAGTATACTTTATGATACTACTCATTTTTTCTCATATTATATAGCTAAAGAAGCTATTCCTTTACATGTTATAAGGAAAAATTTAATTATGTATGGAATATTTTGAAATTTTAAAAATGCTGTATAATAAACATATATATGAATTACATTGCTGGAAATTTTTGTGGAAAATGAGACATTTTTCAATGAAAATGTATTCCACATTTAGAGTTCAAGCTCTCATACACATAGTGAAGACAGTCTTGATATAACTATTTCCAACTCAGTAAACACAGATTAGCATTTTAAAAATAAATTTTGATTAATTGGAAATTTTAAAGAGGTTATTTAAATGTAATAGAGATTTGCATTTTTTACTCACAAATTTGAAATAATCACAGTTATGCAAAATAAGAAAATAGAAAAACTTAAAGCAATAATATATATGTTATTGTAATTATAATATTGAAATGCTCTTATCTTGAGGATACAAAAGAGAGCATGTGTTTTGGTGAGTAATAATTTCATTAAAATCTATTGGATTTTCACAAATTGTATTTGTTAGTTAGTAAGCATAAGATGCTTTGAAAATAAAATAAAAAAAATTGAGAATCATACCTGTTTTTTGCTTTGGATTTGACCCATTTCTTTTTCCAAAAGTTTGTTTTTTGCTTTTTTGTTGGGCCTCCTTGAGCATACCTTTTCCTCTTTTGTCCCTTTTTAGTATTAGACTTAGTTGATGGTGGTTCAGCATCAGACCAGTTATCAAAATCATCATTTAAAGCTGATAACATTTCATTATCTGCTTTTTCGGCATCAATAACTATTTAAAAGAATAATTTAAGAATGAATGAAAGATTTTTTAAGGTAACAGTATTTCTTCAGAATTCCTTCATATATAATTTGTTGAGGTTCAGGGTAAAATATTTTGTTCTTTTTTTATCATTTGTATATTTGTTTTATTATATGCACTTCCAAATTATAATTATTGAAATGATATGATACCACTAAAAAACTTATGGATTAATCATTTATATGTAATAGTTTGAGAATGTTTGTGTATATGTATATATATACACAGTAAAAAGTGGCATGAAATTTTGAAAATATATTCAAAGAACTGTATTAGATAATATTTACATAAATTTTTGAATGATTATAAGTTATAACTATATTTGTGTGTGTAATTTAAAAAATCATACCAAAATAAGAATTAGACTTGATTTAATATCAAAGGAATAAAATTAAAACTGTCTTAAAAAAAACATGTATATTTCTTAGTAAAAACATTGTCTTTTAAACTATTTAAAAGACTGAATCATTTTTGATGCATTGAATTTATCTTTAAAAAATTCTAAAATAATACGTTAATTTATGTCTTAAAATTTTTTTGAGCAGTTTAAGAATTGTGAAATAATGATTATTAAAGTTATTTAGTGATAAGTGTTATATTTTATTTACTTCTAAATCTTGAAATTATCTCTAAATAAGAAAACATATTTTTGCAGAAAATTAATATTCAAGCAAATAAGATATTTGAATTAAATAAATTTCAAAGTTTTCATTAAGTACAAATTCTTGAAAATGTTCTGCTTACTTTTTATTTGAAATAAATTATAATTTTAAACAGAAAAAATAATTATCCAATTTACTAAATATTTAAGCCACTATGACCATTATTTTTGTTTATCTATCTTACTCATACTTTAATTTTAAACATAAATTTAATTTATATAATTTTGCATCTATTAACAAACAACTACCTATATATATATATATATATATATGAGTATAAACATCTGAACTTCATATTGATATATACATTCCTAAAAATCATGCAAAACATGTTATAGAAAAAATGCAGATTGGTACCAAACCTAAAAGTATAAACAAAATGAGAAAAAATTAAAATTTATTATTAGAATTCCATTTTTATTTTATGGAGAACACATATGCACAAAGAACTTAAATAACTTAAAAAAAAAAGATAATTATTTCAGTTGTTTGCAAAACATTTTATGAAAAGATTTATATTATTTGCTACCACTCAGACTTTAAACAAAAGCTTTTATTTTCTTAAGACTGTAATATTTTTAAAACTACTAGATATGGCTTTATCATTGATTTCTGCATCGATGATTTTTTTTAACCTGGAACCATAGTATCACAAATTGTCAGATATGAATTCGTTTCGTAATAGCTGTGTTGATGCTTTAGATAAGTCTTGCTATATATCTGTATTAGGAACCAACATGAGAAAGTTTTTAAGAAAATTTTTTGATTAATTTAAGGACAGTATAAAAATTACAAGTAGCTTATAATTTACAGTTTTACTAAGTGATCTTTTATTGCTATTTCACTTAAAAAAATATAGTAACTGTACATGAAAAACTATTCAAACACAAAGTCAGTTGTGAAATTCTTAATTGAATTTTTAACTACTGTTTTTCTTATTACTATTATTATTTATGTGCAATCAGTTCTGTAATCTAGAGAATTAAAAATGTAGAATTTTTAAATTTAAAATATAATGCAATTCAATAAATTTGTATAAAAATTGCATAAAAAGATATCCAAGTATGAATATGTATGCATATTTATATTCATAAATCAAATTTAATTTCACAAAAAAAACCGATTTTATCCACAATTTTTTATTTAATGAGTTCATTTTACTCACTAAAATAAATAATTTAATTCCAGTAAAAAAAAAGTATACAGAAACACCTAAATTATTTATTACATATTTTATCGCTACTCAAAAATGAAATTTTTATTAACAAATAATATAAAAAAATTTTTAAGTCAATTCCTACTTAGATCAACAAAGCAAAATTTTATTTTAGTTCTTTTTATTAAATAATTACAATAATTATACATATGACAGAATCACAATATTTAGTGGCAAAATAGAAAGTGATTTATCTTTCTATATATGGTGTTGCACTATTTATTTATATTCATAAATCACATTATCAGAAATTAGGCCATCCCAGGTAGGATTCGAACCCACGACCTTTGGATTAGAAGTCCAACGTTCTATCCATTGCGCTACAGGGACACAACAAGCAACTTTCCTTCTTATATATAGTGTTGGACTATTATGTTTGTTTGTTACTATTTATTCATTAATTAAATTTAATTAATGAATTATATTTGAAAAAATGTATTAACATCCTGTCATCTACTACAAGTTTAAAAAAATGTATTTGAACTTGAGTGGATGAATAAAAAGTATTTTATTAATGATTGGAAATTTGAACAAGATATGTATATACAGTAGAACGTCATTTATCTGAATGTTTATTATTTGGAGCATCAAATATCCTGATCAGTTTTTTTTTTTTTGTCAACTGCATGTACTGTATATGAATACGTTTTCGGACAGTGCAATACTCAACAATTGTTTCATGTGAGGCCAAAAGTGACAGGAAAACCCAAAGTTAGGGGTATTTGGGGAATTTCAGTTGTGTGATTTGGTAAACACCTGTGTGGAATATTGGGTCAATTTGTTTCCAAGTGAGGGGCACTTTTGTTGAGTTGTGAACTGCTATGGCTTCAAATTGAAAACGGAAGTGCAACGTCTTGAACATAAGATACAAAACTTGAAATATTGAACCGTCTCACGAAGAGAGAAAGTAGAGCGTATCTGGCACAGTTTTATAATGTTGGAAAGTTAACAATTTCTGACATAAAAAAAAGCCAAGAAACCATTTAAAATTTTGCATCAAAACTTGACTCAGAAGATGGCTTGAAGAAAAGGAATATCATGAGGGAAGCAAATGATGTTGCTCTTGATCGTGCACTCTACTTGTGGTTTTCACAAAGAAGGAGCAAAAGGCACTCAATATCAGGCCCTTTGTTGTATGAAAAAGCTCTGGAATTTAACGAGAAATTATGTGATTTGGCTGATTTCAAAACTAGCACTGGTTGGTTAAAGAACTTTAAATCATGCCCCAGAATACAGGAACTGCAGATTGAAGGCAAATCATTGTCTGGCGATAAGAATTCTGCCCACAAGTTTAAGGAAACATTTTTGCAGCATGTGGAAGGTTACTCCAGAAACAACATTTACATCATAGGCGAGACTGGAGTAAATTGGAAGGCTCTGCCAAGAAAGTCATTCGCTTCAAAACGGAAGTACAATGGTACAGCAAAAAATAAGTGATTATTTTTCACAATAAAGCTAAAATTGCAACATTTTGCACCTATTATGCTTTTTCTTCAAGCACGTTCCCACATGTGATGATTTTCAATATTTGTATAGTGTCCAGTTTCATATACTGCATGGATTACGTTTGGTTTTCGGTTATCCGAACAATCGCGTATCTGAATGGTGTCTGGTTCCAATTGATTTGCTTAAACGATGTTCTACTGTAAATAAATATATATGGGGGAGTGAACTATAATAGTAGGAATTGTGAAAAATGATACTTTTTAATTACTAGGTAAAATATTCACTTCTTTAATTCAGATTTTTAAAATAAAGCAGAACAATCCAGTTGGTATGCATAAGATTTTAATTCTTTTAGTATAAGTATGATGAATACATGACATTTGATGTAATACACACCATAGCTATACACAGCAAACCAGTAATATTTCATATTGGAGAAGAAAAAAAAAAAAAAAACAAAAAAAAAAAAAAAAATGCCAAAAAAAACCCCCAATTAAAAAAATATAAAAAAACAACTAATTGGTTTCCCCCCCCCCCATTTTAACTATAAGGATGCCATGTTCAACCTGTATATTATACAGAAACTGCATTGTTTTATTGTTTTTATGGCAGATTTAAGGAAGGAACAATTTAAATGCAGAAATTCGAAGATAATTTTTTTTTTCAAAAATTCTCCCAAAATAGGTTAGTTAGTTTGTAAATTAGAAACAAAATCAGAGTTCTTAAAAAAATTTGGAACTTTCACATGGTGCAAGAATCATGATCTTGCAAAGTTTCTTTTTAGACCTAGTCCCCAAAGTATATAAAAAAATTGCTTCAAGATTGAGCTATTTTTAAAAAATTTACAGCAAATTATGAAAAATTACTTGGAGGTGCATATCATCTTCACCCATACACATTTTTCCTTTTATTAATATACATTTGTGAGTATAAATAACTAAAATGATTCTTCCAACTAATTTTTAAACTGTTACTGATGTTTGAAGTACGGATGCAAGTAAATATATAGACAAAGATATCAATTCAGCGACACATAAATAAAGTATATGTTTATGAAAATATTTGATTTACCAACAGAAAAAGAAATCTTACCACATCTTTCAGCTGCATATTTTGTAGTGACATCAAGAAATCGTTTACCATATTTTTCATATACCACACGAGTTACATGAGGAATAGATAACATATCCTCTTCAGACATTGGCATCTCTCGAGACATTTGTCTTAAAGCTTCTACATTAATAACATTAGTATAGTGTATATTGCGTTCAGCTGCTATTGTTTTACTAACTTCAATAAGTTCATTGTAACACTTTTCAATTAATTGCAGGATTTCTTTATCTTTAATTGGAGTTATAGCAGGAGGAGCACGCTTATTTTTTACACCTTTGTGGAGAGGCATAGTAACCTGAAATAACAGAACATTTTCATTCATTTTATCTCACATATGACAGCTTATTAATAAATTGTCATTTATGAACTACATTTTTAATTAATCTGAGATTTTAAAGCCATTTTTATTACATTCATGTCATCTTAAATTTCTAATATTTCAATAGCTTAACAAACTATTTTTAATAGTTTAAAAACTAATAGATTGAAGTTGAATAATAACTTAATTGCTTTAAGTAGCTCAAAAGAATTAGTGTTCAGCTTACCTAATGAGAACTAAAAACTGAAGCAAATGCTGGGATTTCTTTCTTTCTTTTAATGTTCATTTACAAAAGCTTAATGAAGCTAATACTTGGAAAATTTTGAAAACAGGACATTTTTTACAAATAAATACACACATTATTTTAAGTTTTTTTTTTTAAAAAAGAAAAACTTGAAAGAATGTAAAGTGATATCAAGGATGGATAACTATCTCTTAATAGGTCTTTGCTCTGCATCACATGTAGAAATAACAAAAAGTTCTACCTAAACAATAGGGTTAATTTTCTCATCAATATTGCCTTTTGAAATGTACCATAAACTCTTAATAAGATTCTGGTTAAAAATGCACACTCTACACCAGGGTTCTTAAAACTTTCTGGGGGTGGCAACCCCATTTTTTATACAAACATTTTGGATGACTGCATAAGCATTGCACAAAGCTTATGTCCACTTGGGTACTTTTATATGTAAAAAACTGTTTAGCAGTAATAAACATATACATTAAGTTTTTAATTTAAATATAGCAACAAAGAAATTTTAATTAAGTAACAAAATGAAAAAAACATCACATCATGTAATTACACAGTAAATTATTCGTAAAGTATAATCTGTTTATTAAGTCTATCATTTTGAGTTCACTTTTGAGATCATCACATTTTATTAATAATGGAATATGTAAAATTAAAGAATACAGTGGCTTTCTCTAATCAGAATCTAACAAAACAAATTATTATTATTATTAATGGTGATCACGTAATTTTATGAAAAAGATATAGCAAAAATTCTAAAATTTTCGGTCAAAGTATACATATATATAATAAAAGAGAAAGAAGCTTTTAATTTTATTATTATTCAGATCATGTCTACCATTTAATAATTATCTTCATACATATGTTTGTGATAAATTTGATAACATAGATATCATCTAAGATTTTATTTATTTTTGTTTTAATTATTTTCTTGTTTCTTAATTTTATATACTTCACAAGATGGCACCATAGGTTATTTTATTTGATAACTTATTTTCATTTAGCATTTATTAACCTTTAAGAATATCTTTAGAAACTTATTCTTACTTATTATTTTGTCTTCCTTTCAACCCAGTGGTATGGGCAAATATAGGGGAATGTTAGCTGACCTTAAAAACTATGTAAGCCCCTACAATCTTAGTTCATAAGACTAAGAGTTTGCTATTGTACTAGTATGGCCATTTGAGTTTGACCTGTACTGTCTCGTAATACTTCAATTTATAGTTATACTTCAAATTAGATTTATGGAAATTTAGTATATGATTAATGATTATATACATGAATGTGTTTATGCATTTGAATTAAAACACATGTGACCACTGAGGAAATCAAGTTTGTTTTTAAAAATGTACAACCAAAATCAACAATATCCCCCCCCCCCTAGCAAAATCTTGAATGTGTGCAATTATAATAAAAATGTTTTGATTTCTACTTTAAAAAAGTACAGATAAAATTCTTTTTAACATTAAACATATTGCTAATACAGTAATTTGATGAATAAATACATATTTCTATAATTTTTAAGAAAGAAACTGCAAAATTTTATATTTTTCCACTTAAAAGAAATAAACGTACAGTACAGGTTCAATACCAGAATAAGTAAAGATATATAAATAAAATAAATTACTTTTATTTGACCAGAAAGCAGTTCTTTTGCTCGTTTTCCTAAATATATATATGTTATAGGCAAATCCATCTTATTGATAAACAAGTCTTCTTGTAAAAATTGATCTAAAACTAATTTTCTCAAAAGCCTTTCAGCATCAGTTCTGCTTAGATGTTGCCCTTTACCATGAAGTTCCAATTTATCATGATTTGCTGCTAGTACTTTATGAGTTTTTGCACCTAAAAATAAATAATTCAAATCTGAATATCAATATTTGCTTTTCTATAAAAATGATCCATTTAATGATAAAACAAATAATTAAATAAAATTCTTTTGAAGGTATCTAAGCATGACAACTAGTATAATTGCATTATTTCACATTCAGATAAAAAGAATTATTATTAATATGAGTTTAAATTCTTATAATTATTCAATTGGTAATTAATAGTTTTATATCGTAATACAACAATTCAACAACTTTTAATAAAGCTTTTTAAAAATATGTTATATGTGAATCTAAAACAACTTAAGCGTTATATGATTGCAGAATAATTTAGTTTATATATTTCAAACATCAGCTATATATATATATATAT